TTTATTGCACTTGTTAAGGCCAGCAGCAGCAGCTGCTGCAGCGGAGGGGGGCAAACGCGGCAACGCGGCAGCGCGGCAGAAGCAAGTTAAAAAGTCATAAAATGATATTTATTTCATTTCGCTGCTGCGTAATGCACACTAACTGGGTGGTGGTGGTCTGCCTCGCGGGTGGCATAAGCAGCCACTAAGGCGCGGCAGCCGCTGAAGCCATCTACAGCAGAAGAGGAAGCAGCTGCAGGAGAAGCTGAAGATGTGCTATAGATTTGCTTTTTATGTGAAATTTATATTTCAGCGCCAGAGCGAACAGAAGTCGGCAAAATAACAAAGAGCGAAACGGGCTGGGAGCTGGGAGCTGGGTGGGGTGGGAAGGGATGCATCTTGTGTCTTGGGGCGGGGATTGGGGGATGGGGGCTTAAGCATTTTCACACAACTATTTGCCGCTTTTATATAGTTGAAGCTTTGACTTCTTGCCAGGGGTTGCAGAAAACGCTTTGGAAATGGCAATGGAAATGCTCTTCTCCATCCTTGTGGCTTTTTAATGTTTTCTTGTTAAAGTTTATTGAAAAACTTTGGACAGTCACGTTTGAGTAGTCAGCGGGTGCCCTGACTAACAGATATATACAGATACATATACATATATAACGTATCTGGTGCCTGTCCAGAAATGAAACAGCTGCACGAGTGCACGCCCCAACGCCCACGAAACTGGAGCAAAGCGATTTTTGCCGTTTCGTTAAAGGGAAGAAAAAAGAAAAAAAAAAGAAACTTACATATAAAATATTTTCCGTTTTCATTTTTTAGGAGAGATAGACGTTGTCGGCCGTGGGGCTTTGCCAGTTGCCTCTCTTTGAGGGCTTGGTCATGTTTGGTTCATAATTGAAATTTTGCGCTAAACAGGAAGTAGATATTGTTCTTCATTCCCAATCACTTGTTGTTCAAGAGTGAGCTGCCCGAAAGCTTCTCTTGCCTCGGCCAATCGGGGATGAGCGAGTGGCCGGCCAATGGTGTTCATAAATGCAAAAGTGCTGCAGTATTTATGGAGGAAAGTGCATTGAGGCAAATGAAGAGCACATGTTTTGAGAAACACGATGAAAATAGTCTGCGAGGCTGCCTTTGTTTCGCCTGAAATCTCTGCGCCTGAGCGAGCACAATTTCAAGAAAAGAAAATAAAGCGATAGAACATTCAAAGATTCATAGCGCACATTCTGTGTATTTTAAATGGAATTGATGCTCTTATTTATTTTCGTATAATCCTCTTTTGCCATTTACTTTCCTAGCTTTTGTCAGAAGTTGTCAGTTATCATTGCCCTTGGTTACAACTGCCAGGCAGTTTTATATATATGTATATAACATGTAAGTTAGGATCGCAGGCGAAAAAAAGCAGCTTAGGCTGCGATTTAGCATCGTATATTTACATGAACGTTACTATATGATACCTGAACTTTTGTCAATGCCCTGATTTATTCTTTGACTGTAATGATATACCCGTGATATATGCATGCATATTTGCCCTTCTCCTGCATACTTTATGCTCTTTTCACTGCGCTTTCCTCAGCTATTCTAGCCCATTTATTTTCCTCTTTTGCTGCATGCGCCTGTCGCTGTCGTCTGTCGTCTGTCCTCTATCCTCTGTCAAGATGCATCGCCAGTTGTTCCCACTTTGTATTGCTCTGCCCCTGAGCTCCACATATACACATGCTGCATGCAGCTCCATCCTTGCACGTACTCCAGTGTGACATGTGCTTCCTCTGTTGTATTTTTGTTGGCCTCCCCACAATATTTTTGCTGTTATTTTCCACATGTGAAATTGAACTTTGCATCTTGGAGCAACGTGGCAGCTACAAACGCAACGCCATACGATTTTTTGTTTTCGTCTCTTTTCTGTTCGTCGGCTGCGTCCACATCCAATGCTGCACTTGACTTGTGGCGCCCTCCAACCAAAAGTATAGCTCCCTTCCTCCATATTCTATGCTTGTGACGTTGTTTTGACACTGCGAACGCGCGCGCGTGCTTATAAATAAATATATAGCATATATGTATATACATACGTACATATTCATATGCATGTGTATGTAAAATGTATGGAAATATGTTTGGGAAATATTTCCACGCTTCTGTTCCCTGTTGGCTGGCAGCGCACATGTGTCGCATTTGGCTGATGGTTAAGCAGGCCTGGTGGGGGGGCGGCTGAGGGAGCAGCCCCTTCTTGTTTTCCCTTTGAAGTTCATAAAAATTAACAAAAAATCAATTTAAAACACAAATGAAGCGTTGATGAGGACGCACAATGACTTTGAATGCCGCTCGAGAAATGTTTACGTTACAATTGAACTGAGCGGCGCCTGTGATCTGAGCTGCCACGCCCACAGTAACTAGGGGTTGTTGCTTGTTGTTGTTATGAAATGCTGTTGCGCGTGTTGATTGCCCATCAAAACAAAGCCTGGCGCATGAGGAGCACAGCTTGAGATTTGCATAGTTCGCTCAGTCCAAAACGAGCGCAAATAAATCCACTGCTAATGCCAAGAGCTTCAATCCGATATATATAAATATTTATGAGTGTGCGTGTGTGTATGTGCATAGTCGAGTGGCAACAACAACGTGCAACAAAAAACTTGTGAACATAAAAATAGCGACGATTATGATGAAAATATTCATGCGGCAAACGGAAGCCGTCGCCAAGTGCCATGGCAATGTCCCAGGAGCCACACATTCGCAGCGTGTCTCCGACCGCCCGCTCCACAGATATATATATATATATATATATATATGTACATATTTCTATATATTGTATATGTATGTGTTTGTGTATTTTGCAGTAGTGCTAGTTGCTTATGTGCCAACGTTGAGCAGCCCATTCGAGTTCCACTTAAAGAGTCATCAGTGCCAAATGCGGCACTATCGAGTGGGGCTAACTCTTGAGATTCTCAAAAGTCAAAAGATGGGAATAACCAACGAAACGTTCGGCATTTTAAGCTCTCGAGTACCGCCTGCTAATAAGTTAAAAAGAAGCAGCACCAACAGCAGCAGCACACATAATTAAATTTAATGCTCAACGCACAGGGTAAAACGCAAGCCAAAGCAGACAGTCGGTTTGTTGGTCGGAGGAGGAGGAGTAGGGGCAGTGGCAATGTCTTTATCCAAGCATCGAAATTCAATTTACTACAAAATCCCGCGCATTGGCGTGGCAATGCCAAGCGAAATAGAAAATGCCAGAAAATGTGTCTCGTTTTGGCCAAATCCTGTCATAAATTGTGGCACAGCCCAAAAAGCCCGGCTACAAAAGACAGACGCCCGGACTATATCCAAAAAGAAAATATGCTGATGTCGATGTCGAATTATGATTTGTTTTTCTTCTTTTTTTTTCGAGTGGCTTTCTATCCCAAAAAAGGCAGGAGCCAGCCGGTCGCCCGGGAAATGAGATATGACCGATGTTGCTGTTGTTCCTGCTGCTGCTGCCTCAAGGTTAGATACTCTACAATAATCGGAGCGTAAATTACAACAACCAGTTGATGGCATCGTAAAAAGCACTAGGCACCAAGCTGTAACAACATAGCAACACTTAAACACACACACTCACACACACACGGATATATGCACTCTCACACACACACGCACATACTTGCAGACACTCAGACACATGCTCGACCTCGCAAATTATAAAGTTGTTTGGCCAAAACTGCTGGCTGGCAAGTTTCCGTTTAAGTTTTCCCTTTCTTCACATGTTTTCTTTTTTATTTTGGGGAAAAAAATCTGCAGCACGTTTTATGTAACGCACATTGATAAGCATTTTGGCAGTCGGTGAATGATTTGCAAGTTTGCACAAAATGCTTGCACAAGCCATCGTTTTGTGCAAACGTGTGCGGATATCCAGCATCCAGAAACTGGGTCGGGAGCAGGCAGGCAGGGCCAGTCCATGTTTCGTTTGCTGGTCAGACACATAAAATAGAAGGCAAGTAACTCGCTGCAGGGCACAGCTTTGCATATCTCAACATAAAACCCTTAAAGTTTTTTTTACTTTTCTTTTGGCATATGGCAAACGAGTAAATATGATTTCAAATGCCAGCGATTGCAAGGATTCTAATTCAATATCTGAAGTTCTTGCAATGATTCCTTTGATTGTGCTATGATATATTTGTACCCGTTAACCTGCATATAGGATTCAAGAGATTATTCTAAAATCGTGAACATGTTTGTTACGAATGTGGTTAAATAATGGTGTTCTATAAGATATGAAGATTTATATACACTCTGGATAGGCTACATACCCCTTTAGGTGCAAATAGCTGAATGATTGGTTATCAACGTATAGCCCAAAGGGCTAGGAAGCTGAAATTTTGACTGTACTTATCTTATATGAGCCATGTGCACGGACTAGGTGGGAATTGTTTTGGGTTGAAACTCAATCTCAATCTTTATGAAACTTCGAAAGTGGTTTAGTTTTGCCTTCAAGCTTCCTTTAAAAACTAGAGGTTTTGCCAATGTACGCTTCTTCATTCAGATTTCGATATCAAATTTATTTTTTGAGCAGTATTGTCTCCAATCCATCAAATTTACCAAGAAACCTCGTGTACGGAAATATTTATAATCTATAATGTCATAAATCTTTAAATATCGGCTTCATCAAATTTCATCAAATGCTGTTGCATATTAACTAAAAGTTATAGTATCTATGTAGCAGAAAGTTAGGCCGGGCAAGGCCGGGGAAGGCCGGGAAATATCCACTATTATTTAAATAAAACAAGAACAAATGCCGAAGCAAGATTCCGCATTGTTTAAAGCACACTTCTTTCTTGACATATGTACACAAACTATTTTTCCATTAATTAACAAAACTTCTTGAAACTAACCAAGCATTCTGGATGTGCACGTATACACATACAAACGTACTTAAACGTAATTATAAATAAATATGTGAGTTCATATATGAAGGTGTACATCATTTGCCGAGGGTATATTCTGGGAAATCAGTTTGTCAACTAGTAAATTGTGTAACGTGTACTTACTGTTCTTTTGAAAATCCTGTGACTCCTCTTCCGCTAGTGTGCCCGCCGGCTGCATACATAGCAGCAACAGGAACAACATCACCGAAACGACAATTGAAACCATTCTCCCAGAGTCCAGCAGCGTTCGCGTTCGTGATTTTCGATGTGTATTGTGTTGTTGCTGCTGTTGTTCGTGCTGTTGCCAATCGGTGAGTGTTGCTGTTGTTGATGTTTTGAGTTGCATTTTTGTGGTTGCTGCTGCTGCTGTTGCTGTTGCAGTTGCACTTGTTGTTAGCGTTTCGTGTGCTGTTATTAAAAACTGCATTGTAATCATTGCGTTGTGCTCGAACACAGAAACGTCTCGTCATTTATGTGGCAAACTTCAATTTGGACAATGAGTCAAAGCAACGAAACCAAAACCAGGGATACCAATAAAAATGGCCGCAATACATGTGGTTGCTGCGACGTTAATAGACAGACGCCGTTATTCTCTGTGCGCTTGTGTGTGTGCAACGTTTCGTAAGAGCTGCTGTTGGCTATTTCCGTTTCCGTTGCCGTTTCCGCTTTTGACTTTAATGAAGCGCCAACGCGCCTTTAGTTCGCTTTCACTTCAAGTTGGGCCATAAAAAAAAAACACTCACATTTCAACTGGCATTTATATGTGGCTCAGCCGTTGGTTTCTTTTGGTGGCTGTTGTTTTTGTGCTCTGCTGCCACGGGAATCTTAATGTCCTTTTACATGTTTATTTGCACTTTTATTGCCTTTTTGGCATAGCAGATTTCAGAAGTCCCTCGACTGCCGCACTGCAAATAGAAAAGCAAAAATAAAACATGAAACATGAGCTCCAGAGTAACTTCTAGGGTTTTGCTTTCACCCATCGGCAACCCAATAACCAAAGCCAGACAACAGCTTTGATCAAGGCAATTGCTGGCCTTGGTTATACACTCACAAAGGGAAAAAGCTGGGAAAAAGACATCTCACTCCATATAAAGTATACATAAAGCTTCAATTACAAACAGCTCCCATGACCGAACGGCTCCCATAGCCGGACACTTTTCGACCGCGCAGGCTTTTCATAATTTATTCAATGCCAAATCTATGCAGAGCTATACAGAGACAAAAAAAAAATATTACGATTTCTTCTATTAAAGAAAACTTTAAATTATAACGAGAGAAATTGTCGGAGCACGAAATTACAATATTTGAAAAATTTAATTGTTGCATATAAAATAAGAAAATTTGTAACTCTCCCATAAGCGGCCATCAGCTATAATCGCACAAAAACACTGCGATTAGCAGCTTACACTGTATTTGTACTTAATCTTACTTAAAATGGCTTAGCCATTTGTCTGCCTTCTAGATGAAACAGATTGCAGCTCAATGTCTGCAAGGGTATTTAATCGTCGACAAACTAAAGCTTACTAGTCTATCTTGTTGTTGTTGTTGCTTTAGCAAAATATGAAAAGTGCTAATAAAATATTTTTACTGACTTGCGCAGCACACACATCAAGCAAATTGAACTCGTAAACTTGGCCGCCGCCAAAGGGTAAGCGGCAGACTTTACTGGCCTGGAACTGGGCCCGGAGCTGTAGACCAAATTTGATATTTTATGTGCCCAGCGCATCGATGAAGTGTGATTAATGGCGCATTTCAATGTGAGTCTTGTAATTAAGGCCGCCGACGTCGATTTATGAGTGTTGCTGCTGTTGCCACAGCTGTGCCAGCGAGGCCTGCAACCAATACACCTTAATCCCGGCTGCTCTATTGTCCGGCCAAATGTTGCTGCTGTTGCTGCCTTTTAACTGCGTGCTAAGCACGAGCGTCGGTCATTAAACAACGCATCAAAATTGATAAACCAACCCCCTGGCCACAGAAATAGTACCAGCCAGCACCCCCAGCCGCACCCCCGGGCCCAACCCCAGGCCTTATCGGTGGCAACGCGCGTTGTTAGCCAAGCGTTGCAGCCACGCATGTGTCATGGTTTGTTTGGCTTTGGCCCAATGTGGCTGGCTGCATTAATGAAGTGAGGATGGGCGCGACAAGAGCGGCGACAGGCACGCGAATGATTTTGATGCTGCTCTTGCTGCTGCTGCTGCTGCGGCTCACCTTACGCCCCGAAATGCGTAATTATGCAACATTTTCCGCATTTTTTGTGTGCTGAGTGCGGTTCTGCGTTAGTTAGTTTGTTTGTCAGGGCTGGCGTCCATTTTTTGGCTGGGCTGCTTAATGAGCAGCAGACTAACCCATAAATAAGGGAATAAAAGTTCATACATTTTTATGAACTTTGAAGAGGTCTTTTGATTAAAATGACAACCGAACGCAATGCGAGAAGAACAGAGGTACGGTTGCTGCCGACTGCCTGTCGAGAGCCATTTGCCGTTTGCATTTAATTGCATATTTACTTATGCCTCCATAAAAAGTTGTTACCTTTTCGATTCTTGTTACCTGTAAATAAACGAGCAAGCACAAGCAGTCGACAGCTTGAAAGCAAAAACTTTGCTCATTAGTAAATTTGATGTCGGCAGCATATGGTCCAACGATGGAAACAGAAAAAATACGTACATATAGCATGAGTAGTTTCTGGCGCAGCTGCTGCTGCTCCTCTTAGCAGTTAGTTAGCATATTTTATTACTGATTAATTAACTCGGAAACATTAGCTGGCTGCGCGGAGTCCTTGCATTAGGCATCGCCTTTGCCCTGGCCGAGTCATTGAAATTGAATTGGGTGGATTTGCTAATTAAAAAAGTTTGCCGGCACATGAATACGAGGTGTGATTGCTTCCTCTTCCTGTTTATTTTCTTAGGCTGTGGCCATTGTGTGTGTCTGTTGCACAACTTTTGACATCAATTGACAGCACTGAACACACACCAGTCTGGCCAACGGGCGCGTTAACTGACCAGTGTTGTCATTTTGCTCGAGATTCAGATTATTTTCATTTATAAATAGCTTGGCTACGTTTCGACTATTGACAGTAAGTAACAGGATCAGCGTTGTCTGCATCAAAAGCTGACTACAAATTAGGCATCTCACCTATTTTTGTATTTTGTTTTTTGGGTTCGACCCAAAGGCAATTATATATTTGCTTGTTTTCGACTATTGATTGGCTTTTTGCACAGGTGTGCCTTGGTCTGAAACCACACTGGCCTACAGCTCTCAGCCGTCTGAAACATGACCGAGTCTTGGGCCTTGAGCCCTGAGCCATGTCAAATTACCGCAGCCACTCCATCATGTTTAATTCAAGTCCTGGCAGGTGTACCCACCCGCGCACACGAGACTAGCTGTGGTTGACATCAAGGCGCGTAAATTTATGAGCGAATGCTCAACTTTCCCATAAATGTTCATCATAATGTGACACAATTTTCCCAAGATTTAACGCCGCATCAACCCAGGCGCCCAGCCATCGAATGAGTCTGAGGCATTGGAATGCGAACGGGTATGCGAATGTCATGGCCATTGTCATGCCTCGTGTGCAATTCGCATGCTTCATAAAGTCGCTAGGCGCATAACTCGTTTTACTTTTTTCGCCCGCACAGCAGCTGATGGCAGCTGACATAAATTTTAAAATGAAATAAAAATAATAATATAATAAGAAATATAAATTCTAGCTCAAGTCAACGCGTTGACACGCACACAGACACATGTGCTCACACATACATTATATAGATAGACATAGCATTGCTTCTTATCACACAAGCCAAGACAAGACGAGACGGGGCAGCTGGCACTGAGTCATGACGGGCAATCACAGTCCTTGCACTGACTGGGCCTTAAGACCGTGCCAGAACCCTACAGCAACAGCAGCGACTGCAATTGCTGCTACGCTATGTAGTGTGTCTGTCTCTTTGTGTGTGTGAGTGTGTGTGAGTTGATGTGTGATATCATAAGCATGCGCCTGACAAGGATAAGCACCGCTACTGTCACTGTCGCAGCAGCAGCAATGCCAGCAGCCCCTGGCGACAATGCGTGCCATTACACCGCGCGGCATACTTTTAGCGCCACTCAAAGCACATTTCACTTTCATTGTGTGCGTGCGTGTGTATGTGTGAGTGTGCAAATAAAAGTTGAATTATGACAAAAGGCATGCATCAGGCAGCAGGGGCAACAACAACAACAACACCAATAACAACTATGGCCTGATAATGTGCTCTTCGCCCACCAACTTGGCTCGTCTTTAAGCGTGTGTTTACTTAACGCGTGTGTTTGACTGTGTGTATGTGTGTGCCGTTTAACATGTCGTATGCGCAATTTGTGAAATATGTGAGCGCTTTGCCAGCCAGCATGAGCAATGAGTTGCCTGTGTGCGTATGTGTGTGTGTGTGTGTGTGTGTGTGTGTGTAGTGTGTGAGTAAGCAATTAGTTGCCTTTTCAGCTGAAATAAAAGCAAATCGTGCGAAAGTTCAGTTGGGGGTTAAACACACACAGCAGCTCATTAATATCCTTTATGCGTTTATTACAGCAACCGACAGCATCTTATGAAAAACATTAATAAATGCGCAACGCCAGATCTAACAGAAGCAATAGGAACAACAACAGCAACAGCAGGCAAAAATACTTATTGGATAAACAAAGGGAAATCGCCTCACGCACGGAAATCCAAATCAATCAGACAATGCAATATTATTAATTGCCCTAATACGTTCAGTTATCCAAAAATCATTTATTTGCGAACATTAATCGGCAAAACTCGCGCCATTGGGATAATTGAAAAAATATGACATATTGCCCGTAAATTGGTTTTGGTCCTTTGTACCTAACCCCAACGAACTGCAGTTTATTGCCAGCTGACCTTTTGGCCTGAATCACAATTGTTTTAAGTCTGACTCGGTTTTCTATGAATTTTTAAAAAAATTTTTTTCATTTGTATCTTATTCATGTCGCCATACTAGCACTCTTTCCCCAAGAAGACCCTTTTTATACCCTTTACCAATTGAAACTAGGTAAAAAGGGTATAATGGTTTTGTGGAAATGTATGTTACAAGCATCTCCGAGATTGTAAAGTATATATATTCTTACTCAAGAGCCGACGCAGCCGACAAGGTAGCTAGGATGTTTGTAACGACAACTTGGCGCTGGGTTCAGAGTATCTCCTAGTCGGTAACTGCCGACTTGTGCACTTTTGATTTTTTTTTACTTTGGGCACGCGTCCAGTTTGAACACACAGACGCACTCGTAAGCATTCACACACTATTCATGCATAAATCACTTTATTTATCCTGCACTCGTTCTTTTGCCATTTCATACCCTTTAGTTATGAAATGGGTTAAAAACGGGCACATTATTAACTAGGTTTATATTTATTATTATTCATCAGCAATTACAGCTTGGTTGGTCGTTTATCAGTTTGTCAATCATAGAGAATATTATATCTGGAAACTCTATGCCCAACATTTATTTACTATACTCTCACTGAGTGTTGTGTAATATAGCTAAGACCTGGGTAAAAATGTTCGCTCAGCGTGGATAAAATGATTTTAGTTTGTGGGCATAATGAAGTACTTCACGTATATTGGATTTTGGATTGCCAAGTTGAAGAATTATAAGCAAATGTGGTATTTTATTTAATTTTACAGCAATCTTGTAATTTTGCAATTTACCATACTTGAGGCGATAATTGTGCTTAGGATAACTGAGTATTTGAAATTAGATTGAATGCAATAAATTCTCAATAAATGCAACATATTCCGTAAATGTGGCTTAATTAATTAAATGTCAAATTTTGGCAGCTTTAAAAATCATCTGCATCACCACAAAGTGTTTTATTGTGCCCTTAAAAACCTTTATTGAAAACAATTTACTTATGTTT